TTAGCCTCTGGTTCCAACTGTAATTGATAGAGTACAGTTCCATTCCCTCTGCTGCTGCTAAGTTGGGATTTGCAGCCACAGCAACTGACAGCTTTTTTTTTTTCTCCGCGAGTCTGGAGTTGCTCTCTGGGAGTGATGTCCTCATCGGGATGGGAAGGGAAATGAMGGGAGAAAAGCTCACCCTGGCCCTGTGCTACTAAGGAACTCCAGGGACCTCTGCTAGGGGGAACAGTTCCTCGAGGTGGGTGCTACTAATGAGAGCAAAAATCAGGAGAAAGCTGCAGGAGGAAATTTCCAAAATCCTACCGATTTGGAGAAAATGGGCTTCTCAGTCAGCACCGAAGAGGGAGAGCATTTATACACTAGAATTTCTGACAATGAACATGTTTTTAAAAGTGCTCTAAAATTGTGTCATTTGCTGATGGAAATGTCTTTTGTTCCACAGGCACAGGGCTGAACTCTCTGAGCACCCCGCTCTTTAGACAGTGGGGATATACYGGGCTCGGATAAATCACAGCAAAACTGAAATAGGGAAACAGGCACTAAAATGAACGCGATTTCAAATTGTCCTGTTCGGGCCTGAGTTCTGACATGGGAAAAAAAATTCCCRAGCAGCTTTGGGCTTAGGAGCCGACTGCAGAATTCAACGCAGATGGCGACTAATTTTGGTGCCTCTTCAGTTGCAAAAGTACCTATTTTGGAATATATTTCATTAACCAGGATTTAAAGGCTCCTCTTGTTTGTGAACACCTTGGCTTTTTTGTCATCTGTCAGCACGGTGATGTGCACTGTAAGTGAAGGGTTCTGAGGCATGAACTGCTTAGGTGGTTTTGATGTGCAGTTGCTTTTCTGGAGGATGTTTAAGCAAAACAGTGCTGCCATTTCYACAGTTTCATCCAGCACTGCTTCCCTGGAATCTGCTGCTACTGCCCCTGTTGTAAAGGACACAAATAATCCTGGAACAGTGCTCCTGGTTACATTTACAGATATATCTGCCTTCTTTCACCACACAAACACAGAGAGAAATCCTTGCTGGTCATTTTCTCTGCTCTCTGCAGAAGCAGAATTTCACTTTCTGATTCTGGTTTAAATAACCTTTTCTGTTAAGGTGCAAGCTGCAGCTTTAAAGAACTCCCTGCTCACCATCTTCTCCTTGCTGCTCTATGAGGACTCTTCCAAAAACAACCCTGGGTTATTCTACAGCTCCARTAAACAGAATAAATGTGTCTGAGACCTGCTTCTGCTGTACTTTTCCCAGCTTTGGCTCTTAGATAGTCTGCTGGGGCTSAGAGAGAAAGGAAAGAAGAAATATAAAATTTCACCCGGAAAGGGCGTTAAGTCCAGATTCCTCTTTGCAGGCTTTAAAAAAGCAAACTACCAATTCATGATCGCAAAATAAAATATGCACATTTAAACAAGCTGCAGGGGAAAGGAGAGTTTAATCCAGTGAAATTGTGTTTGAAAGCTATTTCATACCCCTAGGAATAAAATCTGAATAGCAATTCTGCTGTGCTCCCACCCTTTTTTCCACCCTTCTGTTAATATATTACCATTTGTTATGGAATCACTACGAGACTTTTACCCCAGAGGTGGCTGCATTTTGCTGAAGGATGAAGTAGTTTGCGGGCCCGAGCCTCTCCTTGCTCCCAGGAGCAGCCAGAACTCAGTGCTGTGCATTTTTTGATTCGCACCTGAGCAGRGCAGAATCAGCCCCCGCTTTGTGAAGCCCTTTGTGATGCGTTTGGGCGAAAGCTCCAGCTCAAAGGGGCTGTTTATTGTAAACCCAGCGCTGATCCGAAACGCAGGCACTGATGGAAAGAGCTGCAACTCTCTGCCTCACTCAGGAGCTATCGACTTGGAAATGACGCTCTCAAAAAGCAAGGATGATTCAGAAAAGATTCGGCCCTGCAAAGATCAAAATGCGTTTGACATCGTTTGGGTGTTGATGTGAAATAAAGTGTCTCTAAAAGTGTAATCGGAGATCAGAAATCCCCATCATCGCGCATAAATAGTGCCCCATTTATCCAATTACTCTCCCTTGTTTCATTACAATGGGCTCTAATATATTTCTTAGGAATACAAGGCTTAAAATTAATAATAGAAAAGGACAAAATTGCCATGTATATTTCTCTGGATAGATTTTCATCTAACAGCAGGACTTCACTTCTGATTCACTCGCTGGTTCTCTCTAACCTTTACATTATTCATTAATCAAACTCGAAACCTGCTTTCAAAGTCAGTGCATGGCAGTAATTATTTACAGTTGTGCATAGTATTTAATTTTAAGCAATGACAAAAGCAGGCATGTCCAGAATCATAAGGCTTATCATTTTTCTTCCCTTGGAGGTGAACTATCTGAAGAAACTAAAAGTTGCAAACTTCTCTTCAATATCTCTGCTGCCATCAAGACAAAATGAAGTGCAACTGATACCTTTGAACTTGTACAACTAAAAATAAATAAAAGTGAAAATTAAGTAATATATAATGTATTAACTCCTTTAAATAAAAGGAATAAAGAGCTTTGCTATCAGCCTTGATGAGAGATTTATTTCTTACTGCACAGTCTGTCTCCTGTCACTTTGAGGTATTTTTCACCACACAAAACAGAACCTCAGTACTATCCCTGAAAATGAAAGTCAGTTTTAAGAACTATACACAACAGGCACGTCTGCTCTTTGAAACTCCCCCCTACCCCCCACAAACACACAAATACAACTTCAAAGCAGGAGAACTACTGCAAATGTATAAACCTACTTCAAATAGTTCTGCTGGCTGAAACTGGACTGCATTTGCAGTATTTTGCTCACCTGAAAYAACATTGATCTGAGGACAAATCTAATCAAAGAAATGCAGCACTGGAAAGCAATGCACGTTTTATWATGAGAATGAGAAAGGAGAGATCTAATTGTGGTCATGCGAGTTTCTCCCTTGTCATTAAGATCTTTAAAATGCTGTAYGATTCTGGATAAAAACATCCCTTACTGTATCTCAGCAGGGAAATCCCGGGAAACCACAGCACGAGCTTTGCTCGCAAAAATTTACTTACTGTAGCCTATGTTTCTAAAAAAGAACAGGGTGCCCCTTCCACGAAAAGATACTGCACACATTCCAAGTGAAAATTCTGCTTTGAAACCCAAATAAAATGAAGCCTCATATTCCTGACAGAGAGAAAAAAGGAGCAGCTCTAGCACTGTCACTGTGATGATCAGCATCCATGAAAAAACAGCTATTTATTTATCCTGCAAGTTGAAAACGTGAACGCCTTATTCAGATCAAACCTCTTGGTAAAGAAAATAATAACAGCGACTCATCAGAGTTCTCCTGAATGCGTATCTGTATTTATAAAAATATATATACATGCGTATTTCTAGTGGAACTTATTTATGGCATTAATCATAAATTTGGGTTCTTTGCCTGCCAGGAATCACACTGACGACCTGCATAGGTACATTCGCTGGGCACGTCCCAAAAGCGTCTGCCTGCAGCCCATTGTCCTAGACCCAAAGAAATCCAGCCAAATCTGTGAGTTGATAAAAGTTCTGCGTGTCCCAGTTTCTCCGGGATGACATTTCCCTCTGCGTGAATCCCAAGCACTACTTCACAAAGTTTATTCAAGTGTGCCACTAAACTTGCCCATACATTTTGTCCCACATATGCTGTGCTACAGCGAGGAAATATTCGGTAGGGCGAGGGAAAATTTTTAAAGTTAAGACGTCAAATATGAGTTTGCTTTAAGGAACTAATCCGAGGAAGGACACAAAGGGAAAAAAGAWGGGAAAAAAACCCGCCTACATTAAAAGCCAAACAAGATAATAATTGTGCATGTCTGGCTAAGAGAATCTAGAGGGCAAGCCTTACGTCATTGGCACTTGGGTTACCATGGTGAGTGATTTATTGATATATATCAAGAATGAATAGATCAAAGGCAGCAAGATGACAGGTGATCAATCAAATGTCAAATCAAAGCTGGCAATCAACTGGAAAGCTGATTTTTCAGTGGGTGGGTCTGGCAGAAGAAAAATGAACTTCCATATTGCGCTTCCCAGAAACAAAACCCCACCACACTATTAAAAAAAAATAAAAAGCAATTAAGCCGCCTGAAAGAGAACTCTTTGAAAAGATTTACTATACAGACCCACTCGTCTGTTTCTTTTTCTTGGCCCCCAAAAGAAAAAGAACACCCTACAACGACAAACAAAACATTTCCAAAGTTGCAAACTATTTTCCTCTGTTAAAAAAAAAATAAATTGCAAAACCACTTGGCATGTGCAAATATATAAACTCGGCTACAAAACAAAAGAAGGATTTGATTTGAAAATGCGGATTGTCTTCTAACAGTCAGAACGTTTCATTTTATTTCCTGTTGCAATTTTCACCACTGATGATCAAAGGCTGAACTTCCCCACCGGGTTCATCAGCAGAGAGAGTCCCTGTACTATTTCAGGCACACACAGCGCTCACACACACACACACCCGGCCAGAACTGCCACCAGAAATACGGCGAAATAAAAGATTAAACACCCCGACCCACTTCGCGAAACACGCGGATCCAAAGCAAAAGCCACCGGGAGGGAGGAAAATCAGACAAGGAATTTTAAAAAAAAAATAAAAAAATCTATCCTAAAAGCGAGAAGCAAAGGGAAGGCTGATTGCTTTCGGTTCGGGCAGGGGAAGGGGCAGGGGGAGAAGGGGAGCCGAGGGAACAAAGTTGGGGGGAAAAGTTTGGGCAGGGCAGCGGCAGCGRGGAGCGGCGGCAGCGGCTGCGAGCCCGTGGCGGCGGCGGAGGGGCGAGGGACAGCCCGTGGCAGAGTAAAATCTTGGCAATAAGGAATGAAACTGGCTCCATAGACTTACGAAGGGAAAGGGAGGGGGAGGGGGGATAAATAAATAAAGATCCAGCCCGGAAAAGCAAGGGTGACCCTAAATAATAATAAAGATGGGGGGTAGGAGTGGAAGGAGTGGAGAGACAGAGGCTGTGTAAGTGGATGGCTTCTCCTTACCTGCAGCCCGTTTGGGTGCTTGCTGTTTCCTCCTTGGCATCGCTCTACTTTCTCCAATCTCACTTCTGTCCCCAGATCCGAGAGCCCTGAGACGCTCCTGAGCCGTGTTCCTCTGCCTCTCAGCTGCTTCCCCAGCACCCCCCTCAAGCCTCCCCTGCCCCCCTCCTTTCCACTTCACTGATAGGAACCTGTTTGGTTTTTATTTTATTTTAGAGATCTAGGTTTCTTTCTTTCTCTCTCTCTCTCTCGCTTCTTTTTTTTTTTTTTTTTTTTTTTTTTTTTTTTTTTTTTTTTTTTTTTTTTTTTTTTTTTTTTTTTTTTTTAACTGTTGCAACACTTGCTTTGCTTTGATTCAAACATCCAAGCTCAGGAGCAAATGAAAGGCGCCCACAGTGCCAGAGAACGGCAATAAATAAATAACAAAATAGATATGTATATATATATTAAAAAGGCAGCTCTGTTAAGACTGTGGGGCTGGCTGCTTCCTCCCTTCCCTCTCCTGTCCTCCTCCTCCTCGCAGAGCTGTATGGCGGAGCGGTGCCCGGGTGTGCGCGGTGTGTGTGTGTGTGTGTGTGTGAGCGCTGCAGGTTCCGTGCTGTCAGATGCCAGGCAGTGAGTGATGTGGGAGAGGACAGGGAGGCTCGGGATGGCAGCGAACGCGCGATCCGCACTCACACGCGCGCACACGCACCGCGGGCACACGCACACACATACACACACACATACACACACACACACGCGCGCACACACACAGGCAGGGCGAGGCGATGCCAGCAAACATCGATCCACTGAGCAAACTGAACATTAACAAACTCCTCCTCCGCGACCCGATGACAGGAGGAAATTTACTCCGCGCAGCCGGGCGGCAGAGCCGTTCATTAAAGAGACAGGGCGCCGGCACCGCGCCCGCCGCCACCGCCACCGCCACCGCCACACTGCCACCGGGGGGACACCGCTCCGGGAGGGGGGACACTCCTGTGACAGACCGGACCC